TAATATATTATAAATTTTAAATATTAATATTAAAGAAATATTTTCTTTTTCGGTTAGAAAACACGGTAAAAAAAAAAAAAAAATTACTTAAACCCTTCTAACAATCTTTTTTTTAAATTTTTCTTTCAGGTATATGAAATAATTTTAAAAATTAAGGGGGATGTGCTCTCTCTTTTTCTTACCGTTCTGCCGGCTTCGTTGTTATGTAGATTCATCTTCTCGCGGAGGTTGCGGCCACGTTCGCCAGTATCGACGAATTCGCGAGAGAACTTGAAGCCGTATCCGATGTTATCCGAGCAACCACCCCATTCCCAATCCCGAACGGCGGATGATGTGCGTGATTGGTGAGTATAGTCACAGGAACACGACTGAATGCTGCCCTCGCTACATGCTCTCGCGATACTGTGAGTCACAGCCGCGCTCGTGATGGCATAGATGAAAGCGGTCTCTCGGCATCCTACAAGAAAATTGCGGGAAATTTATGACGCCGTGCCGTGCTGGAAACTAAATCCCCCGTGGAGAGGGAAAAATGGAAATACAGCTAGAAAAATGACGTATTTATTAAAATCCATGATATATTACCGCTTTTATCGTAATTTATTGTCGCATTATTATCTTTTTTCAATTTTTAATTTTGTTTATATACCAAGTTGTATAATATATTATATTTTTCTGCAAATTTCTGGTAAACCAACTCTTGGCAGTTATGATTTTGTCTCCATCAGAGAAGTGCCATATATTCTTGACGTAGGCACGTTTATTCTTCTCTCGACTAAACGATAAGAATATTTTTATACTCGCCGAGAGCGCAGACAAGACGCTCACGGTGTTTGGTCGTGTGGGAGGTGAGCGATGACGTCAGACAACATCTCAATCCTCCACAGGAGACTACCTGCGCGAGAAGTCTTCGCAGGTGGAAGGTAGCGAGGGAGAACGGGAGGATCGTGGGACGAGGAGAACGACAGAGAAAGAGGCAGAACGAGAGATAGGAGACGGTACGTGACCTTAACCCTGAGTGGGCTGACCTGAAGCACCTCGACCTTATCTGCATAAGGCGCAGGTGTTTGCCGGCTCCTTTTGTGCCGGTAAAGATATCACGAGGGAAG